ACACATCGGTGGATGCCTTATTATCGGGGAGGTCTTATTATCGGGGGGATGCCTTATATTACAACGAGAGGCAAAACTGTAAGTAGGCCTTATTTTCGGAGGATGTCTTATTTTCAGGGAAACAGGGTAATATCTGGCTGATTCCCCAACTTACAGCATGTTTTAGTGACAACCACACAACACAATTCTCATAACTTCATATGCATCAATGACAGACATCTATGGATAGAGAAGTGACTTTCAGCAGATCATAACCTTTCCCCCGATACCTTACAGGGCATGCTTTATAGGTAAGATCACGATGATATGAAAATGAGGAACATGGGGGTTACAGCAGGCTCCCCACAAGGTAGAGAATGTCACAATGGTTCCTCAAGCTCTGTGGGGCGCTGAGTCCCGAGGGGAAGGAAGCCAGTGTCACGTCCCGTGCCGGCAGCCCGATGTGACAATGTGGGATGTTTTTCACCTTGTTATGTTACATGTGACTCTTACTGGCCTGTACCAATGCTGTGTGTGCCTCAGTTTCCCTGTGTGCTGCACCAGTGCCTTGATGGTGGGAGTTGGATGTGTGATTTTACTGAGGCCCTCGGGAACAGGTGCGGCTGCCCAGTTGTCTGCACGTAGGCGATGGACGGTGCCCTTCCTAACCTTAGAACAGGAGAGGGATGCGACCAGGTGACCTGGGAAGCAGGACAAAGACCAGAGGAGGCGCAACGGGCATGTCAGAGGTAGCAGGGTCCAGGGCAGTCTGCTGTGCGGGGGCTGGAAGAGGGGGAGTCCAGGGCGTCTTCCAAATGGACTTGGCTGGAAGTCACTGATTTCTCTGCTAACAAGCTCTGTTCTACGCCGTGTTCCTGTTGACTAATAAACCTTCTGTTTTCCCAGCTGGCCGAGAGTCACGTCTGACTGCAAAGTGGGGGGTGCAGAACCCTCTGGCTTCCCCAGGACCCCGCCGGGGCGGACTCGCTGTGGGAAGCGCACGGAGGGGCATATGCTGAATGCTCCCAGGAGAGACCCAGGAGGTGAAGCCATGTGAGCTTCTTGCCCTGAGGACAGTCTGCTCCGAGGGAGAGGAGGCTCCTCAAAGTCCTGACTGGCTTTGTGGGGAGCAGTTCCAGAGCATCGCCCGGGGACTCCGTGACAAGGGGGCATGGAGGGTGCAGGGGGGGCTGGAGGATATGGGGGAATCCATGGGGCCTGCATAATTGGGTGCGGGGCTGCAGGAGGGCATGGGAACTCGGGGGGGAGGGACGCTGGAGCTGTGGGGGGGCAGGGGAGAAGGGACGCTGGAGCTGTGGGGAGGGACCAGGGGGTGGGGGAAGGACGCTGGAGCTGTGGGGGGTGGGGAAGGGGGAGGTTGGGTGCCACGCTGCACTATAATTAGCTGCCCCAGTTCCCCTTTTCCCACGTCCCAGCAGCTCAGCTGGACCCGCAGAGGAACCAGCGTCTCTGAGCCGGGTACCCCCCCAGAGGGGGGAGGGGGTTTGGGGACCCATGCACATCTGGCCACCCCCCGGCAACCAGTCCCCAGCACATGGGCCGCCCCAGGGTCACTAGCACGTGTGCACTGGTGTGAAATGAAACTTCACTGGGCAGCAGGCCCCACTAACCCAGGCTGTAATGGCAAGCCGGCCCTCACCCCCGCCCCCGCCTCCAGCCAGTTATCCCAACCCCCCCGCCGATGCAGCCAGCCCCAGCCCCTGCCCTCAGCCAGTTCACCCAACCCGCCCCCTACTCTACCCCACAAGCCCCCACTCTCCTCCCAGAGCTGGGGAGAGAACCCAGGAGTCCTGTCTCCCAGTCCCTCCCCTCCCCGCCCCGACCGCAGTGTCTCATTGGCCCAGGGTGGGGGGGGATTTCACACAGGAAGGGCCAAGGTGTCACCAGCTTCCCCAAATGAGCACGTGGCAGGGGGGGGCAGAGCCAGTGGGGCCGGAGTCGCCTTCGCTGGGGCCATGCGGCGGGAGCTGCTGCTGCTGCTGCCCCTGGTGGGGGGTGAGCCCTGGGGCGTGACACGGGGTGCACAGAACTGGGGCGCGGCCCCCTTGTCACTGGCAAGACCCAAACAGCAGGGGGCGATGGGGGGAGAGGGAGGGGGCAGGGAAATGGGGAGGGGGCACAAGGAGGGGCTGGGTGGGGCAGGGGAATGGGGAGGGGGTCTGGGGCTGGGCTGGC